CTGTCTTTACACACCCTATAGCAAAAAAAAAAAAAAAAGAAAGAAAGAAAGAAAAAAGAAAATCACTTAAACATTTTGTTGATTTTTTTCCTTGAAGGTGATTGTACATTACATCATCCATGCAAGGTCCTATTCTACAATACTTTAGGGCCTTTTCCTTATTTTTTAAGCACAAGGAGTCTGCGAACTGTTTCAGTAAAGAGCCAGACTGTATATATTTTAGGATCTGTAGGCCACATATCCTTTCACTTTTTTTTTTTAACTCTTTATTTATAACCCAGGCAACAATTTACCAATCTCTTTTATACCCAGTAAATATTTTGTGTATTGGTCTTTTGTACCTATTGAGGCCAGTTGAGTTTATTAGTTTTATTGTTACTGTCCATGTGTTTTCTAAGGACAGGATGAGTTACTGTACATAAAGCACTATGAATAGTTCCTGGTGGGAAGCAAGTGTTAGCATTTATACATGAAGACTTCAAAGAGTTTGTAGAAAAATGGAATTGAAATATGGAATTATCTTGGTACAAAGAAAAAATTGCATAGTTTTTTCATAATAAATATTTTCCAGATAGTTTTTTCATAATAAATTTTCCAGAAACTTTTTGAAGACCCTTTGTGTTATTAATAGTTGAAATATTTTGGGACCAGGAGTTGGTTTAATGGCTATATCACTGGACTCTCATGTAGGTGACCGCAGTTCAAGTCCCGGACCCAGTGGCTTAAACTCACACCAGGCATGTGTGTGTGCATGCCCAAGATCCCAAGAAGAGAACAGAGGAGAAGGGATTGCAGCGTGGCCATCCCCCCCAGGGGGTGATTTCTCACTTTCTGTCTATCACTCTCTGTCTTTCTGGTGAGCACACGTGCCCTAAGGCAAAAACCTCTAAAAAAAATAATAATTGAAATATTTTATATGCTAAATTGATATAAATTCAGACAAATTTTATATCTCATAATTGAAGTATTTTATATGCTAACTTGATATAAATTCAGACAAATTTTATATCTCTTATAATGAAAACTCAAGTCTTAATTTTCTATAAATATTTGGGTATTTGGAAAATCGCCCTTCCATTTTTTTTAACTGTTACTTACTTTTTATTTCATAGTCATAAACTTAAATGTGCAATTCAGCTAGCTTTGGAGGGGAAAAAGGAAAATATGGAACTCAAAGAACTGCCGCGAGACCACAGGTTACAGGACATAGTGAGCAGATGGGGTGGAGGAGTGCTCTCCTGAGCTATAGAAGGAACTGTCTGGTGCTTAAGAGAAAACAAGTCAAATTCATTAGAGTTGCCCACAGTCAGCAATGGTGATCTTGCTGGTCTTGCTACTTTTGGACCCAAAGTGCTCTAGGGCACCCACAATATTGATGTCCTCTTTCACCTTGCTAAAGACCACATGCTTGCTATCCAATCACTCAGTCTTGGCAGTGCAGATGAACTGGAACCCGTTGGTATTTGGTCCAGCATTTGCCATGGATAAGATGCCAGGACCTGTGTGTTTCAGGCTGAAGTTCTCATCATCAAATTTCTCCCCATAGGTGGATTTGCTGCCAGTACCATATGGCCTATGAAGTCATCACCCTGGCACATACACCCTGGTATAATTTTGTGAAAGCATGAACCCTTATCACTGAATCCTTTCTCTCTTGTGCCCAAAGCACAAAAGTTTTCTGCTGTCTTTGGAACTGTGTCTGCAAACAGCTTCAAAGGAGATGAGACTCAAGGGCTCAAGGTTGACAGTGATATTAAAGAATGTTGACCATGGTTGAGGCCCAGAGATTCGAGTGGCAGCATCTGCAAAGCACCCATTCATTGTTTTTTAATTTCAACTTTTAAGTATATATGAGGAGGCTTCAAAAAGTTGTAGAAAAGAGAATTAAATACAACTTTAGTTTAGTTTTAGTTTTGCTATAGGGTACATGTGCTCACTAGAGAGAGAAAAAGACAGAGAGAGAAAGAGAAAGTGAGAGAGATCACCTCCTTGGGAGGATGACTATGCTCCAATCCATTCTCCCCTACTGTCCTCTTGGGATTTGGGGCATACATGTACATGTGCCTGGTGTGTTTTTCAAGCTACCAGGTCTGGGACTTGAACAGTGCTACAGGCCACATGAGATCCAGCTACCTCAACCACATCATACTGTCTGCCGGTCCTGACTTAATTTTAATGTAGAAAAATTTTAAAATTTATCCATAGATTTTTCATAATATGCATTTTTAAGAGAGATTTTTGCTAGAGGGTATGTGTGCTCACCAGAGACAGACAGAGAGACAGAAAGCAAGAAATCAACCCCCAAAGGGGATGGCCAAGTTGCAATGCTTTCTCCTCTATTCTCCTCTCAGGATTTGGGGCATGCACGCACATGCGCCTGGCATGAGTTTCAAGATGCTGAGTTTGGGACTCAAACCATGGTCAACTACGTGGGAGTCCAAGCGATATAACCACTATGCCATCTGCTGGTCCCTCATAAATATGCATTTTCTATGAAGTTTTGAAGACTTCTATACTAGGCCTCACAAGCAATGCTAAGGAATTGGACAAACAAGGAAAAAAATAAATGGGTTTTGAAGATAGATATCCCATCTCTGTCTTATTCCAGACTCAATCCCT